AGTGATGTATTCAATAGAGAAATGCTTTTGGGATTTTAAAATTGAAGTTGAAGATGCCTGCTTTTATTGAGACTATTAGTTGGAAGGTTGAGAGAAATAAAGTTCCAGAATATTAAAAAAAAAAAAACAGACCACCAAGTAATCAACATCCAACATTAGGCATGCACGCCCCTTACTTCCTCCAGACTCACTACTAAATATCTAAAATGCAAGAAGCCTCGCAAACAAAATGCATGAATTCCTCATCTTATTAGGCATGACCACATTCAACATTATATTTGTCTGTGAGACATGGTTAAATGCATCTTTTCCAGACTCCATTATCACAGACAGCGAATATAACGTTTATCGGTCAGATCACGAAATTCGTAGAGGAGGTGGAGTTGCTATCTTCTACAAAAAATCCCTAAATCTAAAAAAGATCCAAATTACACAGGAACTTGCTCTTCCAGAGACCATTGTCTGTGAACTGTCCTTAAATACCACAATCCGCTTCTTACTATGCTACAGAGCCCTGGATTATGACATAGTTCATGTAAACAAGCTAACTTCACTGTTAACGTGCGCTGCCTCTTGCCCTCACCTCTTATTTTCCTTGGTAACTTCAATCTTCCTCTTATAAATTGGTCCCTAAATGAATGTACATCTGAACCCATACATGCAACCCGATACAATGCTGTTACTATACTGGGACTGGATTAATTAGTAACTAACAATACTAGATTCAATAACTGCCTCAACCTTATCTTCTGCAACAGCTCAAACTCAATATATGGCCTACAAATACAAGAACCCTTTTCAAACAGTGACCGCAGTATGATTGACTTTTGTCTCAATTTACGCCCGCACAAGGAGGATCATAATGATGGATCCCCAAATACAACTTCAAAAAAGCCAACTATGATCTCATAGATGCTGACCTATCATCTCTTGATTGGGACATTCTGTTCTCTAGCTGTAATACTACAGAAGACCATTATAATGCATTCTTGTTTGAACTTGAAAGAGTCATTAAACTATATGTACCATTAGTAACCCCCAAAAGTAAAAAAAAACAAATTACCCATAACAATAAGGAAACTTCAATCAAAAAAAAAAGATTGCTATGGTGTAAAAACAAAACTGGCTACGTACCAAACTTTAAAAACCAATACAACACCCTATGCCGACAGATAAAGGCAGAATGCACAAATTACAACTGCAAGCAAGAGAAAAACGTCCTATGTACAAAATCCACCCGCGCCTTCTACAATGTTGTTAATACCAGACTTAAAGACTCATGAACCATCCCATCTCTAAAAGGACCAAATGGGAAAGACTGCAACAATCAAGCTGTTAAGGCCAATCTCTTCAACACATTCCTCAGTTCAGTCTTTGTAAACAACAATGGTTCATGCCCCACATTTCCTAGTAGTACCACAACTAACTGTAATGACCTACTACATATTGAATTTACAGAAGATAACGTAGAAAAGGCACTACATAACCTAAAACCATCCCTATCTATTGGCCCTGTGCATACTTCTTAAAAAAGCTCTCCTCTGCCATAGCGGAACTCCTAAACATTATATATGAGATATCATTCAGAACCAGCTCCTTCCCAAACCTATGGTCCTTAGCTACAGTCATCCCTATCTTCAAAAAAGGTGATCCCAGCCTGGTTGAAAACTACAGACCAATCTCACTGTGTTGTGTCACATGCAAAGTCATGGAATCAATCATTAACCAATTCATCATTCTCCACTTAGAGTCAAACAACCTACTCTCCAGAAAACAATTTGGTTTCAGGAAAAAATTGTCCTATAATCTTCAACTCCTACACTGCAAAAACATATGGACTACTCTACTTGACCAGGGTAAAGCTATATGTTATGTCCGTGGAACTGGTGGGGGTTCCCAACCAGGTCCGCTGT